GGTGTCCTAATGAGGAAAAGAGCAAAATCCGATGAGACTACATACTACAAGGTTTAAATTCACGACTGAGCAACCAGGGAGTTAATCGACCAAATAGAACATGCACATAAAAGCGGAGCTACTCAGAAACAATTATATAATGGAACAAAGATCTCATTTATATTTTGCCTAATCTTAATTTTGATTTACCTGTTAATTTGTTATTCTGTACATGCCTAATAAAGGTTTCTGAAACTGAAAATGGAGTTGAGAAGCCTACATGAGACTGTTAACAAAGTTGTCAGTTTGAAGTGTCCTTTTTCTCCCAAAAATCTGCCCATTGCCATACGTTTTGCAGGCTTCCAGCAGAGAAACATGGAACAGGATCACAGTCTTGATATTAGCAGAGGAGAAGAACACATTTTGGTATCACGCGAGGTTAGAACGACATGTATAGGGAAATTGGGAATCATACCAAGTGATGGTGATGGAACCCTCAGAGGTTCAGCCTCATGCAAAAGCCTCCTTGCACAGAAGCAGGCTTCACCCACATAACCTGATGCCCAAATCTGATGCAAACGCCTCCTTCTGGCCAACAGTAGGGCCGGCCCTACTCAACTGTTTGCGACCCTAGGGGCAGCTCATCTGGGATTCTCATGACTATGTATCTCCCTGTTTCTTCCTAGATTGTGGCAACTGCTATCATCTCAGTACGGGAGCCATTTTCGGTGTGGTCCTGGGCGACCTGATCTTGACTTTGCTGATAGCCTTGGCTGTGTACTACGTTGCCAGCTGCATCTATCAACGTAAATTGGCCAGCAAGGGTGAGGAGAAAGGAATTGTTGATGACCCCCTTGAGTATTTCCCTCTAAGATATGTCAACAGTGATACTGCATGCTTGCCATTTAGGGACACTAGGAACTTGTACATGTGCAACAAAGTGGTATATATAGCACACACGTGAATTACCAACCTCGCCACTAGAGGGCCATGCTATGTATTCTTCACTAAGATGTATTCCTAGCATGGTCTCTGACTCCCTCTAGTGGCCGTTTTTGGTAATACTTTGTGATTTTTTTTATTTTTCACACCATGAATAAGTGAATCAGTGGATACTGATCCTGTGGATAAGGGAGTCCCACTGTACCTCCAACCTCTGTGATGTACAAACAGCATCCTTATTGCAAAAAGCAACATGCCAGATTATTCCCCATGCATTATAAGGGTGGAAAGGTGTTGAAACACAGCTGCCAAGATCTTTCATCAATGGCTGTGCCAGCTAAGGAAGATGGGAGTTGTAGTCTAAGAACATTAAGGCAGCACACATGCACCAGTTCAATGTAGCCAATGGGTTGGAAACCAGAACATATATATTTTTCTTTGTTTTTTACTTTTTCTCCTACAGGAGAAGCTGTTTACTCAAACAACAGCAAGCTCTGCCTTAGTTCACAGCTTCTCGAATTTGATTTTGGTTGTGATTGTGTTCTTGATGTTTATTTCATTTTGGAAACTGCCCAGAGTAGTGGCAATGCCACTAGATGGAGTGGTACAAAACTAAAATATTAGGTATAAGGAGCAGCATAGAGATATAATTAATAAATAGATAAATAAATAAATGCATCTTATCACTCCCTTCATGAGCTTGAGAGGTTGTGTTTCTTTGTTTTTGTTTTAAAGAAGGCATATGTTACATCTTGAAGCCATCTGTAACTAAGCTGTATAGTAGCAGAATGCCCTCCCTTATTATAGGGGGAAAAAACAAGCAGTGAGCATCAGTAAAACTGAGGGCAAAACAGGGAAAGCAAGGAAAGATCTTGGTGTGTTTCAGGAGACACTGAATTTTGCTGAATGACTAAAAAAAGTTTTTTTAAAAAACAGGCATAAAGATAGCAAATCCCACCCCCTTGGAGAGAAAAACCTAAATTAAGCCTTCAGGGAAACTGTGCTGCTTTTCTCACTTCTGCCCCATTCTTGTATAAAACAAGCCTGGTGAATTCTTCCTTCGACAATTAAAAATAAAACTTGGGGAAAGGGTCTCGAGCCTTCCATGTACCATCCATTCAAAGCCTGTTACACCCCGTCATTTTTCTCCTCTACCATCTTCAGAAAGGGAAAGGAAGCCAACTGTCTCTGATGAGATCATGACGTGATCCCAGGCAGGCTGGCCCCAAAAGCAGGGTCTTGACAACCTGAGGTGCAAAAGAAACTCAGCTGCAGGATTTGGCCACTGATTTGCCCAGGAGAAAGAGCTATCCTAATCTCAAGGAGATTTCTTTCTCCCAGGAAGCCTTTTCTTATAGCTGGGCTATTAATAACAACATTTTACAACAGCAGAGCAAGAAGGGACCCTATGGACCATCAAGTCCAGCCCCTGTCAGGGAAGCACAGTGGGAACTGAACTCCCAACGTCTGACTCTACAGCCAGAAATCCAACCCACTGAGCTATCTAACAGTTCTTGACAGAGGGCTTCTAGACGAGCTTGTGTTTTTCATCTGTGACTTTCCCAGACTGTTTCTCTGACTCAAGCACTGATGTGGGTTATTCTGAAGGTTTAGCCTCCTGAGGTCCCAGGATCTGTAGGATCTGACACTTGCTCCCCTGTGCCAGGTTTAGGGGGTTCTGGCTCACTGGTGGACTCCTCTAGCAAGGCCACAACCAATAAGAGCATGCAGGTGAAGGCATAAGATCCTTCTTCTGTATTTGTTTTACTGTTAAAGTAAGACACACATAACCCATCCCATGCTTTATATATAAAGAGGGAACACACATATATATATATACAGCAGTTAGATTATGTCCAGTTTGGCCATTATGCAAACGCTTGACCTAAATCTTTTCTAACTTCAGATTGGATAGAATGCTCATAATAATGAGGGAAATGAGTTTATTCTGCCTCCCTTTGTCCCTGCTTTCCTCACATAAAATGACTGAACAGGAAACCCTGATGTAACCGTGGAGGTTTTCCACGTGAGCCACAATGTGGGAGACATGTGAGATTTCTGGCTCTCAAAGAGAACTTCTTTTGTTACAGCACACCCCTCCCCTCAGACAATCACTATTATGTAACTTACAGCAGAGAACGGGGAAGAGCTTGCTTGCCTCATCACATGTGAAGTAACACACACACACCGTATTGACACTTGAATGGGTTCAGTGTCTCTGAGGTCCTGATGCTGCTCCTGCCCAAAGCAACTGCTTTGGGGACAGCCCTGGTTTTCACTCGGACCCAATGCATCAGGGAAAGGTCAACTTGCCTGGCCTTGATTGTGGTCCCAAAGAAAATGGCCCCCTGTTCACTAAGAAGGCAAGCAGCCAAAGGCTCTTGTGGGAGTTTCCTCTTTGAGACAAACAGTTCCCATTTGTTTTTGTGAGGACCCAAGTGTATCACAAAAGGTTTTTTAAAATAAAAAAGAGAGATAGAAAAACCCATTGCACCTATGAAAAGTAAGAGCATGGGAAAGGTATTACATTTTTTAAAAGTCACTTTAAATAGTTTAGCGCCCCATTTAGTTTGACTCCACGACAGTGGTTCCCGACCTTGTGTCCCTGATGTTCTTGGACTAAAACTCCCAAGAAGCCTTCAGCCCAGCTGTGCTGTCCAGGATTTCTGGGAGTTACAGTCCAAGAACATCTGAGGACCATGGTCTGGAACCACTGATCTAAGAAGTCTTCTTGGCAGCCATGAGGTCACCTGCCTGCAGAAGTCTCTGAAGACAGAGCCAGCCAATGTTGACACTGGTCTGATGGTGGCCACCATCTCACCTATCATTTGATTGCAACTGTGTCATGGTGAGGAAAGGTGCGGCCTTCCAGGTGAACTGAATTTTGTTGGGCTCCCCTTGATTTGGCCAGCATAAGGAGGATGGGGTCTGAAGGGCCCATCTCTGACCTGCAAAGTCCACATTAAGTCCAACAACTCTAACATACAAACAAAAGAAGAACAGAAACAATTGTAAAAATAGACACTACTTCCTCCACCACCCCGCTATCCGTACATGAGTATTCGCCTCCCCCAATCTATTGCGATAGGAAGCCTAAGGTTTTCCTTTTCTTCATCCTCCCTCTTTTCTTTCTTTTTTTCCTTGCAGAACTAAAGAAGACTGAGCATGAGTCCCCCTATGAGGTGAGTAGATTAATGTGGCTGCTAACCTTTGTCCATGCAACCCCCTGAAAGGGTGGGTTGGGGCTACAAAAGTGTTTGCCATGATGGAGGAATGAGGTCACCATTGTTATCAATGGGATACATTTTTCCTGTAAATATGGGTTCACCATTGTTATCAATGGGATACATTTTTTCTGTTATGATAAATATGGGTTGTTGTTTTAAAAAAATCTTCACTGAACCTCCAACTTGATATAGAGCAGTGGTTCCTAATCTTGAGTAGCCAAGGTGTTCCTCGGCTGCAGTTCTCAGAAACCTTCACCACCAGCTGTGCTGGCAGGGGTTTCTGGGAGTTGCAGTCCAAGAACACCTGGGTCACCCAAGGATGGGAACCACTGTTGTAAGATTGACCTAAAAGTATCTCTCTTACTTACCTACTTACACTTGTTTATACCAATTTATCATTCAAGGCTCTCTTCCCCACCCCCAAAAAATCCTGGAAACCAATTGGACGAGAACATTAAGAATAGCCTCTTGTCCACAATTTGGAATATTACTTTTTAAAAGGAACTTAGCGTGTTATTCATTACTTTTGGAAAGTCAGGTTAACATTGTCATTTTGTGCAACTAATGCAATGTACAGTGGTGCCTCGCACTGCGACGTTAATTCGTTCCGCAAAAATCGCTGTTGAATGAAAATGTCGCTATGTAATATTAAAAAGCCCATAGAAACACATTAAAACCTGATTAATGCGTTCCTAGGAGCTTAAAACTCACCATCCAGCAAAGATCCTCCATTGGGCGGCCATTTTCGGGTGCCTGTATAGCGAAAAATGGCTCCTAAAAACAGTGGGGAGCCATTTTGTACACCGGGTGGCCATTTTGAAACCCAACAATCAGCTGTTTTTAGATCATTGTAATGCGAAAACTGGTTCCCGAGGCAAAGAACCGATCATCGTGAAGCGGATTTTTCCCACTTAAACTATTGTTTTGCGATTGCAAAAACCTAATCGTCAAGCGATTTCCTCATTAAGCGAGGCAATCGTTAAGCGAGGCACCACTGTATAGTGCTCATTGTTATCTGTGGTTTTCAGTATGTGCAGGGGGCTCAGAATCTATCCTCAATCGATATAGGGGCCCTACTGTATTTACAGTAACTATATTCTTTACCACTAGGAACTCCAGGCTCAGGAGGCATACATTGCAGCCACTGACTCCTCCAACTAATGGATGGGTGCAGCCACATCTGCTTAACACAGAATTTCTTCTTCCCTGCCAGACAGGAAGCAGTTCTGAGGCTAGCAGCTGCCATGTCAGATTCTCCTCAATCAAGGGTTTAACAAAAACTGCAGGCACTGCATCTAGGGGGATAGAACATGATGGCTACCAAAAGGGCACAAGAATATAGCTCTACCTTGCCCAGATAAATATATCTGCAGAATGAAGGCTGTGATGTTCATATCTGGTGATGGCCTCCAGCATCCACAGAACATAAGGGCTATGATGACAATGGGGCCCAAATTCTGAAGAAGCCGTTTGTTTGGACTACCGTTTTCAAACTACAATTCTTGGAGGATCCTGGTAGAGATAGTCCAGAACTGTAACTTCTCCAAACCCTACAAAGGGCTACAGGAGCACCAGGGCAGTCAGGTTAGAATAAGGCAAATGCCAATTGGCACACCATGCTAAGGGCTCAATGAAGTATGGCAGTCGCCCTGATTGTAGACTTCCTGAAGGCATCTGAACACAGCTGGGTAGAGAGTTTAGGAGTAGACATCTCATATAGTGGAAGGATCTTTTTCCAAGATCCCTCGGGGAGATGGAACAACTGTGAAAGCAGTAAACAACATAAATATGCCTTGACACTCTGCTTCTTGCTTACTTCACAGGAACTCCAAGGGCCCAGACTGGATGTTTACAGTGCTATAAGGGGTTCTGAAACTACTTACAAATAGTCATCCTGTCTAGATGTGGAATTTTAAATGTACAGAGTACAAAAATAATTAATGGGAGATGTTTTAAAAAGTAGTCCTGAAAATGTATCCTGTATTATTTAAGTGAAGTTTGAACATCAATTTATTAAAAGTCACTGCAAAATAATTGGCCAGCTCGGGCCAAGTCTGGAAGTGAGGTCACTGTTCAATAACTACCTTGTAAAAAATATTTCACACCTGACAGTTGAACATGTTTACAAATAATAAAAACCCAAACGAACACGAATTGAAATGGTATTCAAATAAATGATTTGTCATATGTAAAACATTGCAATCTGTTAACATGACCAGTAAGTGGCATTTGCAGATCCAGTAACTTGTTCTACCTTATTTCACTAGACGCAGTAAGTTAGACCCAATGAAACCTGCTGGTTTAGCAAGTGTGATTTAAAATAATAATGCTTATCGCCACAATGACAGCTTGCTAGACTCTTATTTACAGGACTAGTATTTTACAGGAGTTGTGAAAGCAATAGAAATTTTCATTATAAATGTTCTAACTCTAGAACAAGCCCCTGTAAGCTGCTTCACCAACAAAAGTCAGTTGTTTACATTTGAAGAGAAATGTTAACAACTGAGAGGAATATCAATATAAATATAGAGAGGCAGCAGATGCAAACAACAATGCAACACAACATGCAGTGCCACACTGGATGCCAACAATATTAATACCAGGGAGCGTCAGGCATCGTATAGCAAAAGCAATGGAAGCAAACAAGGACAACATGGATTTTCCTCCATAGATTCAAATTGGTTTGGCTGGGGGGAGCACTTTGAATAATTACCTGTGTGTTATTGTAATATGCTGAAAGGCTAAAGATTACTTAAAACTATATATTTTTTACTTTTTAATCTGTTTTAGACATGCATTCTCTTTTTTTAAATGTGTCTTTTTAAGCTATAAGCTCTTGTATTTTTCAAATTTAATTAAAACATTCTTTTTAGTATTATATTGTACCTTTTATGCTCCTGTATTTTGAATTAAAATTTGACTTAAATATTTGCCTGTGACTTAAGATTAGTTTTTATACATATTTATAAATATTTGTGCATATCGCTTTTTTCATAGCTGTAGGATTTTTTTTATATTTTCAACAACTTCGAATTATTGTTCTGCATATGGAATGTAGAAGCAATGTTAGAGGAATAAAGCTAGAGATTTTGAAGAACCATTTTCTCTAGAGTGTCACTATTCTGATCAAAATGCTATTTGCCCAATGGAAGCCAAACATTTTCAACATGTGGCCTCCACTTACCAGTGCTAGAAGAGGCCACAAAAGGCATGTTTCTCTGGATGCAAGAAAATGAAAAGTTCTTGGGGAAGGAGATGAATTCAGTTCTTTCATTATTAAATTTGTGTAGGGTTTTTTTTAACAAGCAGGAGCCCTGTCCCCCAGTGTATATGGGCTTAACCACAGCCACGGTTGTGCTGAAATCCAAGTTACATCATGCAGAGGGATGGTTAAATCTGAATCATAAAGCACCACAAATAAAAAAAAAGATGGGCCACACTATGTCCCTTCTAAGCCCACAACCCAAGGTGTTCCATTCAGATTTCTCATACTGTCACGTCCCTGGGGGTTACAACAGCCAAAGTCCGATAAACCAGTCCAAGGTCAGGAATACCAAGAATGCAAAGCCGATATCGAATTACCAAACCAACTTACAGAACGTAGTTCAAGGTCAGAGTCACACAAAGTAATCCAAGGTCAGAGTCCAGAGTCAGGAACACAGATCAAGGTTGTAGGAGCGTGGATGCAAGCCAGGAGTTTTGACTTGTTGCTTCCACAGAAATTCTAGCTGACTAGGAGCTGTTTTTATAGTAAAACAGCCCCTTGAGCTGCTGGAAACCTTTTCATCCTGTCAATACTCAGGGCTACTTGAACAGATGTTTCTGTGGACAGCCTGCGAGCGATCCTCTGACCTTTTTGCCATAAGTCTTCCCCGAAGCCTGGCCCGAAGCTTGTCTGCTGGGGAAGGAGAATCTGGAGGCAATTCAGGTGTTTCCAATTGCTCAGCATTCTCCTTGGCCTCAGTTAACCCTTCTGGTTCCAGGTCTTCAGCTACACTCATGACACATACATTAATTAGAATTAATGGTGCTGAAGCTTGTCTGCTTGGAAAAGATCATCAAGTCTCTGGATGTATCTCTAGACACCAAGACCAAGATCATCCACCCTCATGTCTTTCTGATGATCACCATGTATGTATTGATTGATTTGAAAGGCAATGCTAGAGGAGAGCTTTGCAGATACCCTAGACCAGTGGTCCCCAGCCTTGGGCCTCCAGGTGTTATTGGACTTCAAGTCCCAAAAATCCTGGACAGCAGAGGTGGTGGTGAAGGCTTCTGGGAGTTGTAGTCCAAGAACATCTGGGGGCCCAAGGTTGGGGACCACTGCCCTAGCCTGCCAGAAAGAAAAGGAACAAGCAAGTCCTAGATCATATTGTCACAGTCCAAGATATCCCAGGCAGCCCCTCACTGGGGGCAAGGGCACCAGGACCCAGTCCCCCACACAGGGTATCAAGTCCAAAGGCACTCACTGCACAGAAGGTCATGACCAAGCTGGGCCAGAGAACACAGAGGTGGGACAAGGTAGCAAGATGCAGGAGGCAAGCACAGGGGCCAAGACAGGAACAGGAATACTGGAGTCCAGACTCGGAGATGCAGGAAGAAAGCAGAGGCAAGAAGAGAGACCAAGGCAGGAACAGATGTAAGAATACTAGAATTCAGGGACTCTGAAACTCACGAGCAGCAAGGCAGTCAGCACAGCCAAAGACTTTTGTTGCTGAGGCCAGTTGTGGGAGGGAGAACCACTCCTTAAATAGGCCTTCCCTCCAGGTTTCCAGGTGAGCCTCATGAGTGGCCCAGCAGGTGCTACAAGGGCCAGGGCCTGCGCCTGCAAACACCTGGCCATTCCTGAATCAGGCTGGCCCCAATCCTGCAGCTGCCAGGGCAGTGTGGGCCAGATCCTGACACATATCATGCCTGTTGAAACTGAGCCTGTCCCACTTTGGACACATCATGAGAAGACAGGATTCTCTGGACAAGACAATCATGCTGGGAAAGGTGGAAGGCAGCAGGAAAAGGAGGAGGACCAAATACGAGATGGACAGACTCACTAAAAGAAGTCATAGGCTTCAGTTTACAAGAGTTGAGCAAGGCAATTGAGGACATTTAAGAGATTGTGCTTTCATAGGGTCATGGATTCTCCATCTAGCCCTATGCTCCCTACTCTGACTGGCAGCAAATCACCAGGATCTTGATGCATCGTGTGTTTCTTTCTTCTTTTAACTGAAGATGATGGGAATTGAACCGGTGGACTTCTGCAGTTGATGCTGTACAACTGAGATTTTGCCCTGTTGCACAATTCTTACTAATTCCAGAGTGGTGAGGGGGAAAGAGGAAGATTGTACTGGAGGATTGTGCCCTTTGCTTTAACTTTAGCATTTGAAGATTATGTTTGAGGATCAGGGTGGATTTGATTTAAATCACTAGCAAGGTGAATAAAAATCAATGATTTTTTAATAAAAATTAAAATCCCATTTAAATATTAAAAGTTCTTTTTTCTTTTTAAAAAATCCTTGATTTTATGTATGCACCATACTAGTGATTTAAATTATGAGTTTAAATTTGAATTAAATCCACCCTGTTGAGGATTATGGCATTTACCCCTTTTTATGACTGAGGTGTTTTACATATAAATTTGTTTTGTTTCTCATCTTCCATGAGATATTTTTCTTTCAATGACATTTTCAGAGGGATAGTTGTGTTACTCTGTAACCAATTGCAGCAAAAAGACACAACAGGGCCTTGTGGCACCTTGAAAATAACATGTTTTGTTTGGCCAAACTTTGGCTTGACAACATTTCAGAGGTAGGTGAAGTTTGCTGTGAGGTGCTGCAAGACCAGACTGGTGGTTTTATACCTGACAGGAGTGTTGCGGTGGTTTGTTGCAAAGGCTGGAGTGGCAACCAGCTTCTTGTCTGTGCCCAGAACTAATGACGTTTGCCCGGTTTCTTCACATCCTTATGCCTGAATATGTAACAGTAGAATAGGAATTACAGAGGCCAAGCTAGAAGAGGAAGAGGCGAAGCATCAGAGTAGGGGAGGAATATACTTGCACACAAGAGGTGACGCAAGTTGCCCACGTGGAAGGAAGATGCACAAATCAGTTTTGATGTGGTTAAAAATACATTACATCTGGCTGGCTCATAAAATTCCCTGTGAGGGTCAATAAAGAGAAGCTGTTTCTATACCATGCCTAGGCACAGAGGCAGGGCTTCGGGATCATTCATCAGCCCTCGGCCGCAGGTGCACAGTTTAACTTACAATGAGGGCGGGGATTTCTATACTTAAGAGAAGTCTCTCTCTTTAAAACATGTGCCTGAGCCCATATAAATTAATAATCATCATGCCAACCTAGCAGTTCGAAAGCATGTAAAAATGCAAGTGGATAAATAGGTACCACTACAGTAGGAAGGTAACGGCGTTCCGTGTCTAGTTACGCTGGCCACGTGACCACAGAAACTGTCTACGGACAAACATTGGCTCTACGGCTTGAAAACGGTGATGAGGCCCCGAAAGTCGGACACAACTGGAGACTTGTCAAGGGGAACCTTTACCTTACTGCTAAGTTAATTCTGACTTAATGGTGACCCTTTTCAAGGTGTTCCCGGTAGATAATACTTACAGAAGTGCTTTCCCATTCCCTTCTTCTGGGGGCAGCCCTGGGACTGTACAGCTCGTCCAAGGCCACATAGGCTGGCTCTTCTCCCTGGAGCACAACAGGGAATCAAACTCCCAGCCTCTGGTTCCACAACTGGAGACCTAAAACAATTAGCATGGGCAAACGTTAGGCTCTGCTGTGTTCTCTTGCTCCACCCACTTTTGTTGACGGTAAGATGGCCAAGTCAGCAGGATCTATTCCCTGAGTCTTCATGGCCAAAGACCTGACGGCAGGTCATTTTTAATATCCAGAATGCTTTGAAGACTAGTATTTGATGGACCAACTCATTGATTAGAAGGCGAAAGTCTGAATTCCAAGACCAGCTCTAGAACTTCCAAGAGAATGAAAAAGACAAGGGTGCATCTGAGCATATCTAAACACCATGTCCGGAAGACATGAAAATAAACCCCCAAATCTACAGTTGCCAAGATGGCTGCATTCCACTTTCTTGAACATCATGTCCAAAGCCTGAGATCTGGAGAATGGACCCCAAAGCTTAAATCTAGAGGCCAAAGTTTAAGACCGGGCAACATTTAGTAATCCCCTAAGGAGAAAGGGGATGTTCAGCTTAAAAATGGGTCACACAGTCTGTTCCTGAAGATGATGGGATAAAACGGCTGGGCAATAGTTCTGAGTATGCTTGGTTTTTAATCTGATATTTTTCAGGAATGCACACAATGAATGCAAGACCACAGATCACTTTCTGCCCTCTTGCTGCTAGTAGTGTTGGACTAGAGGAGGAAAGTCGTGTTTTTTTCCTTCCCATTCTACAAAAATAGCCATGCTCTCCAATTAGTAGAATTGAATGTGGCTGTTATGCCAAGGCTGGCTGTGACCAATTATGTGAGGCAGGAGGACCTGCAAGAAGTGACATCAAAACATGGCATAAAACAGTCTAAAACAAATAAACCAAAACACAACAGTCAAAAAAAAATCCTCAAGTCATTTTTAAATTCAACCCACAAAAGCCTCCAGACTGAAAGGAAAATGCCCTCTGAGCCCATGTAAAAATGGGGAAATCAGTGGCTTGGTAGATCTCCTTTAGAAAACAGAATCCCATAGCTGTGGTGCCATCAATGGAGAGGCCATAGAAAAATGTTTCCAGATTCCAGTTTCATTATATTAAGCAGACCTTGAAGTCTTAGGCCCTTTAAAGATAAAAAGAAGAAAACACTTTAAAGCCATCATTTGCTGGGGAAGGCAATAAGAAAAGATTCTGAAGAACCATTT